GAAATTTCACGATTTTCAAGGAAATACCCGGCAAGCAAGATTTTTCCAGCCCGATGCTGTCTTCCAAGAACGAAGACACAAGTTATCCCTGAACCGCAGTGTAGCTGAGGATATGCAACTCAACAAGCGCCACAAGTTTTCGCGCATAAATCCGCCTTTTCATGGCACTCGTCGAAGAAGAGGGCCAGCTTGCATGTCAGATAGCTTCCGCGATCCTCGCACAGTTTTACCGGTTTCTTTGGGGTCTTGTTTTTGTTGCTATTGTTGTTGTTGTTGCTGTTCTCGTCGTCGCAAAGACCGCACGAATAGGGACAGATGTGGTGCATCGTGTTTTGCTGGAAAATGTCGTTGCATTCACCGAGACGTGCCCAAATGGCGCAAGTGAAATCCAGATCACGGCAGGTACTAGCTGCAAAATTGCTCCAGTTATGCACGTTTCGGATCATCGCATAATGATTTATTACTTTTCGTTCTTTGGACCGAGGACAGTCCTATCTTTCGTTTATGAGGATATCACATAATGATTTTTCGCCACATTTTTTTTTTTATTTTTCTCTCTTACTGCAATTTACTTTGTAAATAATAGCTTGTTGCATATAACTATAAATATATATGTGTCCATAACTAGGTGTTTACCCACACACTTCACCACACATACTCAGACACATGTAAGACACGCACACTAGACCGGCTCGCAACACGTAAGGTCGCGATATGGTAAAACTGGTAGTATCTATCTCAGAACCTGTTTGTCTGCCTTTTCACTTATCTATTAACTTGTTTACTTGCCTATTACTTCTTTATCGTTGGACGAAATTGTTTGTCTGTTTGGCTGCATTTGGCGTTGACTTATTTTTTTCACTCGAATTTTTTTGCTCACTTATTTAACTGCTTGTTTTCTTAGTCGTTTAATCGCTCATTTAATCGCTTTGCTTATCTCCTTATCTGCTTGCTTACCTGTTTGACTGCCTTTTCACTTGTCTATTTACTTGTTTACTCATCTATTACTTGCTTATCGTTGGACGAAATTGAACAGGACTGATGACTGAAATTTGGGCAGATGAGGTTCTTATGATGGATTCCACTAAGAATTGGCGCACTACATCGAAGAAGTGATGGGGCTGTGCAGCCCAGAATCGAAGGACTTGACATAGCTGCGCCCGGTTTCCGGGAACATATCTTGGGATACCTCGCAGAATGATTTGTCACAGCGGATTTGGTACTCTTGGTAGTATACTAATATTCACTATAAATTTCAAATTTCCTTTGTCTTTTTAATT